CATTTTATTTCTAATAAAATGCTTTTTTATATTAAAGACTGGAACTTGTTATATTTATAAACAAAACAATTTTGGTTATATTTAAAAAGTTTTTTTGATTTTAGTAATATTATACTATTATATATTACAACTTCTAGCTTTTTTAATAATATCTGCAGACAATTTTAATTATATTTAAAAGGTTATATTGATTCTAACAATATTATATTATCTTGCAGATTTTATCTTATATTATTTAATTAATTTTAGTCTTGTTTATGATTAAAACCTAATTTGGTATCTTTTCTTTATACAAGAAAGTATATATCAACCTTTAAAATTTTTTTTTATAACCAGATTATTTAACTATACCAAAGATGCTTTTAATTTTATTTAGGCTAATTCTTTATTACAGATTATTTTTATATTTACTACTTCTTTTATTATTCTAGTTTTGGTTATTTTCTAATTATTTTTTTAATCAAATTTTTTATAAAATCTCAATTAGAACTTATTTATATAAATTATTAATTATTCTTTAAAGCAAATATTTTACAAATTGGATATAAAAATATTGGTATTGCTTATATTAGAATATGTAAGAATGTTGTTACTGTCTTAGCCTTAAAGACTTATATATGCAATTTTTTTAAAATTATGACTTTTATAATACTATTGTTATACATAATATTTGCACTTTATGATTAGGTTTTCTTTTAGAAATTCTTTATTTTAAATTTATACTTGTACTTGAACTTTTTTTATAAGTTTTTGTATCTAATTAATAGCTTTAATAGGTTACAAGAACAAAATTGTCTTTAGCCTATTTAAACTATTAATTTTGTTTGTAAAAAGTTTAAAAGCTTATTTGCTAAATTATAAAACTCAAATATTATATATATATTTTATAATATTAACTACTTTATTGCAATTTAATTAATTTTTTAACTTATTAATATATATATTTAAATCTATTTCTTATCTTTAATTTTTAAATTACTATATTTAAATATATTGTTTTTTTAATTTATAAAGAAACTTCTTTAGTTTTATATTTTTTATTGTTTTTTATTAAATGCTATATCTAATACTTTTGCTTATATATTTCATTTTAAACTTTTTAAATATACAACTTGTATTAATATTATTAGATCATATTCAGATTATTGTTTCAATCTTAAACTTATTTTATTGTCAAAATAAATTTTTTGAAGTCTTTTGTACCTATTTTTACAACTAATCCAATATTGTTATGACAGAACCAACACTTGTATTCAAGACTAATCATTAAATTACTATGCTTTTGTAAAATTCACTTAAACTCTAGTATTTACTTTATAGTATATTTTTAGTACTTTATTATACCTCTATTTATTGTTTAAAATTTTAATTCAAATAGCTTATATAGAACTATAACTAATTTATTAATATATTAGATTAACTTAATATCCTTTTTTTGATTTATTCTAGTAGCCTAGTTAGTAATACCCCACACAAAGATTCTTATTCATCTGAATACTTTAATATTAGTACCTGTTTTCAGTAATTTAGTTTTTATAATTATACTATTAAAGATCTATTCTATCTTTTTGCTTAAATTTTTTTAAATAGACTTTTTGTTTTTTAATTTTAACAAATTTATATAGTCACAAAAACTTATTTAAAATTTGTATTACCTAATGCCAGTTTGTATTTCTCTGTATAACTAATTATACAGATGCCTTATAATCTATTAGTTATGTTAATACAACTATTATTATAGATATCTTATTCTAATTATTAGAAATAGTTATTATAATATAAGTATTATATAGATAATTATTCAAATTTTTGCTATTAATAAAATTTAAACATCCAAATTATTATTTAGAAGTTGACAACTTATTCACTTTACTAAGTTGTTATACTTTTAATAAAACTAATTCTTTTTACAAATATTAGTAATATTTTTTATATTTTTTAATATAGTAATATTTGTATTTTATTATATATGTTTTGTTTTAAAAATTTTGAAATTTAATATATATTTTTATTTGAATTTTTACAAAACTTTATATCTAATTATAAGCTTTAATTTTTTATTATAAAGTATTTGTATTTAGTTATTATCAAACTATTAATTTTATTTTAAAAACAAAAGTTTAACAATTAAGTTGTAAAATCTAAATTCTATTTAAATATATTAGTTAAACAAACTTTAATCTTTTTAAAAATTAATAAAAATTATTTACAAAATTTATAATTATTTTGTATTTAATTATATACTTTTTAAACAAATTCATATTATTTTAATATTATATTTAAAGAATTTATTTCTAAATCTTTAATTAAAATTATTTAAAATTTTATTATTTTTACAAATTTGTTTTATAAACTATTATTGTTATTTTATTTAAAATAACCAAACTCTTTTATAAATAATTATTCTTTAAATTATAATACAACTAAATTTGCTTATATAAATTTTTTAAAATTAATTTTTGTAATAAAATTTTAACAATTAATTTTAGCAATATACTTTTTAAATAAAACATATTTTTAAAAACCTATTTTATAAACTTTATTAAAAAAGTTTTTTAATTTTATTAAAAATTTTTTATTTAATTAAAGTTTAAAAATTATACAACATTAAAGTTTAAAAAATTTTGTAGAATAAACAAAAAAAGAATAATAATTCTAGATATAATAAAAACAAATATAATAGAAAAATAAAAAAATTTTCTAGTATATAATCTTAATATACAATATAAAAGGTACTAAACTAGTATAGTATAAAACAAAAAAAGATTTAAAAATAGGAATACTAATAAACATGAAATGAAAAAAACATGTAGAATCTATAAAAAAAACAACAAATATTTAATAAAGATACAAATATATTTTAAATAATTAAAGTTAATAGTAATAAAGTATATATATTACTAAATAATAAAGTTGTTAATAAAAAAATATAACAGAAAATTGTAGAATTAATTTTTAATAAAAAAACAAATGCAAATAATTATACTTAGAAACTTCAACTATACTGTAGACAATATACTAAACAAACAATATTTACAAATAACAAGTTATAAAAACTATTAATATTTAGTTGGTTCAAGAAGCAGAAATTTACTAATTTATACAAAAACTTCTATCTAACAAAGAAAATATATACATGATTCAACAATAATACTATAATAAAAGTAAATTATATAAATATTAAAATGTTATCTTTAGATCAAAAAACAAGAATAGAGAAAACAAAAAGATTAATCAATAGTAACTACAAGATAGTAAGTACAAAAATAAGATTAAAACATATAATTGTAAATAATAATAAAACAAAAACCAAATATAAAGATTAAACAAGAACAATATATCTGTATAAAAAAAACAAAACAAGAAGACTGAGAAGAGTATGTAACAAAATTACAAAAACAATTGAAATAGAAAAAAATAATAAGATAATGAGAAAAGAAGGACTTAGAATCTAACTGCAATAAAGACATAATAAATAAAATATAAAAAACAATAAAGAAAATCATACTTGAAGCAGCAAACAAACAAATCCCAAAAAAGGTCTTCAATACAAAAATAAATAAAAAACAAAATCAAAAAAAAACATCAGCAGTACAAGCACATTGTAGAGTTACAGCAAATAATTAAAAGAACAAAAACAAAAAAAAAACCAAGAAGCAGAAAGAGAACAGACTTAAAGCAATAGGAATAAAAATAGAAGTAATACTATTTTATAACCCGTATAATAATTATTTGATTGCACAATCCCGTGTCAATAAATAAATGAAAAAGCGCGGGTTGTTACATAAGACCCGTGCAATAAATTGATATAAAACACTAACCCTAACTGTATCAAAACAGTAACTCTAACTGCATACGATCTCCTAATTTGAGACGGCGAGTCACCCGAATGTTGGTTAACGGTGATCACAGGTTGACCACTCGGGTTACCCACAACCCACTAACATGGGCTACCATTTTATTAGTAAATTTGAGATGATTTGATTTGGTTGATCTGCTGAAAATTCCGGGTTGAGATCCTGGTCGGCCGGACCAATTGATCAATTACTAAAAGTTTACTAATGAATCATAGCCGTTCAATAAGTAAAAAAGCCCAGTTGATAATTTTGCTATAGGCTATACTAAATAGTGTTGCTAAATGCCGGTATAACTCCGACCCATTTCGACCCGGAATTTTGGAGATCCTCCTGTTAGTAAGATGTCAAGTCCGATTTTTCAAACCATCACACGGACCAAGGGTCAAACTTATCGTTATCGTTATGGTTCAATTCCGTAAATTGAGAGATGAATTAAAGGATATGAATAAGTTATATTGTAAAAAAAAGCCTTTTCTATTATTTAATATCTCCCCTAAGCAAGAACAAATACACAACTACTGTTTTATTAAAAGGTATTTAAATTGTAAATCATTCTAAATTTTACAAAAGCACGGAATTGGTAACAAGGATTGACGATCAACTAATTTAAATGCGTTTAGAATCGCTTTGTATATGAAAATAAGTAGGGATTTTAGACGGAGAATATTCTGGTCAATCAGTCCGATGACGATGATGCCACTTTGTGCTCTAAAAATTTATGCATGAAATTAATTTTCATGCGAGATCGTTCTTTCGTATGTTAACTTATGAGAACAGTTGAACAAAGAAAAACAGGAATGTAAGGAATAATTTATAACAGATAAAAAGAGTAAAAAATATCAAACAAGATGGATGCATTATCAACAAATTGGCAAAGAAGGCTTCAATTATGTGACATACTATATTTTTTAGCACGTTCAAATTAAATAATCATCGAATAGGATTTTTAGATCCTATATAATTATTAATTATTAAGAACTAAAGTAATTTTTTTTAACTTTTGAGATGTTTGATTCACATAGACAAAGTCCGAAAAAATATACAACAATGAATTATTTTGTTGTCGAGGTATAGTACTTAGCTATTAACATTTCACTATATAAGGCCTCATTTTTCGCAAGAAACATCGGGAATTCATTCGCAATGAATTACGATCATGAAGTCGATAATGAAAACCCATCATGTTCAGTCGATTCCCCTGATAACGATCAGGAAACATGGAATTTAGAACCACGAAATTTATACGACCCGTCATGTTCACTCGATTCCGCTAGTGAACGTAAAACATACGTTTTCAAGGGAAGTTCATTCGATTCGTTTAATACTGACCCTCAAGCTTCGCTTGATGAAATTATGAAAAACCCCCCTTATGAACTTACCTTACAACAAGAGGAGCTGCTTGCTCCACGCAAGCAAAAAAAGAAAACACGTAAAGCGCCTCGCGCGCAAAATAAATTCATTTTATTTCGGAAAGATTATACTGCCCGCGTGAGAAGGAAGGAACCCAGGAGGGCAAAGTCAATGAAAACGCAAGAGTTTTCAAAGGAAGCGAGTGAAAAATGGGAGGAACAGTCGACAGAAGTGAAACGATTTTTTACTATTTTGGCTGAAGTCGCAACTGAAAGGCACAAAATGATGTATCCAGAATACAAATATGAGCCCGAAAAAAAAAAGGATAAACAAGTGGCTTTTAACGATGAATTTGAGGAATTTATTGATTATAGCCAATGCGAAAATCCATAAAGTAGATATACTAAACGAAATTTTGGCAAGTTTGTTGGTCGTTTTTGTTTTTTATTAGAAGATTTTATTCGATCGAAAAACATACTGTTCGTTTCTAAATTTAAGTTTTATCGAATATAAAAAATTCTCTTATTTTGTTCTTGTTAATCGGTTGTCAGACTTTTTATTTGTAGGCACTATTTTTTTCGTTTCTTTTACGCTTTCTTTATTCCTAGTAACAAAATAAAAAATCAACATTTGTTGTTAATAACAAATAAAATCAACTTTTTGAATGACAGTGATATGTAAATTATGCAGTAAAACAATTTTTAGATAAAATCATAGTGAAAAGTTTACGCTCAATGGTCACGTGACTGGATATCGACGTATTGCCAAGCGCATCAACCTTTATAGAAGTAGTATTTTGTAGAGAATATTACAATGAAAAATGTTACTGGTCAGATTTTCAAACTTTTATTTCCATGAGAAGTTGGTAAAGTTTTAAATTTCGCAATATGCTAGGATTAGTATTAAACAATTTTCAAATCGTTTAAAATTTTTTTTAAAATGTGATAAAAACGAAAATATTTAAATGCTATCTAAGCAGGTCTTGGCGCACTAAGTAAAAGTGTTGGAAATGCGATTTTACTATATGCTACTACCCTCCTAGCCTATGTCTAATCCTAACCCTAATATTAAATAAAAATCGGAAATCCCGGAAGGTGCCAGGCTTTAAACGTTCCCAAAAAAATGGAAATGACCATCATTGTCGAAAATTAATGTCAATTAGAACTATGGTTAGGGTCAAGGCTAGTGTTAGGGTAAGTTTAGGGCTTCAGAAAAACGTATACCAAAATTTTGCAAGAAATTTTTTTTGTGTTATGACACAAAAGACAATTTCATATGCAAATTTGGTTTTTTTTAACAAACGATTGTTTTTCAATTTTGCTGATCGTTCGTGTAATATCTACATAGCCAATGCTGATTGGCTGGTCATCAGTTTTCAAACCGGTTTGGGTACATAAATGCACGCGATACATTACATAAAAGGCCAAATGGCTTGATCTAAATGTTGATATGCATGCATTTTTATAATTAGAGTTTGTATAGATCCCAAAAAGGGTACAATGCACAATAAATAATTTAATTTTCCGAGTTTTTAATTTTTATAGGATTTAGGCCGGCATTTAGCAATACAAGTCAGCCGTTTCTAAACCAAATTTATCAACCGGGAAGTTTTATTTAATAAGTGGGCTATAACTAGGGATGGGTAAACCGATAATTTTTTGAATCCACTGCGCAGGCTGCGCAGCCTGCAGCATTATGCAAGCCGGCCAGAATTATACTAGCTGGCCAGAATTATGCTGGCTAGCCTGAATTTTAAAAATCACACTTCGCAGTCTCTCAAAAATTCTGCAGGCTGCGAAGTGGCCCTATGACTTCATTAGTAAAACTTTTGGTGATTATGGGAAAATTAGTTAATTCCGGCCCCACCGATCATGTATTCCGACCCGTATGAGTTTTTTCACAGAATTGGATACATTATTTACATCTTTACTTTTCATTAGTAATAATAACAATAAAATGAATATAAACTAAATAGGATGCCATTACCAAATAAGATTGTCTGCGACATTACTTGTGTACGTACTACATATACCAATACCCTATATCAATGTTTATTGGCCATACCTACCACTATTGTGTCTAGGTTTGGAACCTGTGATGGGTTACACTGATGATATTACATATCCATTATGGCGTCAGTCAATTTGACAGTCATTGTGATTTCTTAATATGCGGGTTGGTTAAAGCGGAGCGAGTTTTAGAGTTACCTTTTTGATACAGGTAGGGTTTGTGGGTTATATAGATATCGAGAATGCAATTTATGCAATATGTAGATCATATACTGAATTCGCTCCGCTTTAACCGACCCCTTAATATGGAATTGGAAACCTATAAGTTGATCACGTGACCGCGAAAAATTTTTTCAAATCAACCTATTCTAAAAACTGACTAAATAGTAATTTATAAAGTAACCTAACCTTATATTAAGTCACCCTCGGTTTTAAAAAAAATCCATATAGAATTTTAAACGATTTGAAAATTGTTAATATATAATCCTAGCATAATGCGAAATTTAGAACTACTTGTCATAGAAACTAAAGTTAAAAATTTGGCCAGTAACATTGTTCATTGTAATATACTCTACAAAAATTAACTGGTCAGCTTTAAAATATCGCTTTTATCAAGGAGGATGCGCATTTTCTCTAGTATCGCTACCAAAATTTCACCTCCCCACGTAACCAACGAAATTCTTTAAGTTCGGTTAGCGTCCAGGTTAGGGTTTGGATTTAGAAAAATAGATAATAAAGTCGCTCAAGAAAAACTTTTCGTTAGTGCATAAAAAGGTGATTTCTATGAGAGATTTTTGATAAAAAGACGGTTGAGTTTGGTTTGAAATTTCTGTCTGCATTACGTTACATGAATTTAAGCTCTTTTATTGGCCAATGATCACGTGGAATGAAAATTTGATGGGAAAACTTTATAATATTTCTGACGTAGAGGTTTCTTAGGTTAGGGTTAGTAGCATGTGCTATTTATTTTAAATTTAATATATTTATTTTTGGTCATCTATACCCCGGGTATTTTAAGGTACATTCGAAACTAATCACGTGACAACAGAGCGTAAACTTTAGTTATTAATTTATCTAAAATTCTACTGACTTTTTTACTGCATTATTTACGTATCATTGTCATTCGAAAAGTTGATTTTATTTGTTATTAATAACAAGAAAGCATAGAAAGCATATAAAAAAAATAATACCTACAAAAAAAAAAATTCTCCAACAAACAGTAAAAGATTGTGCGAACGAAGAAAACATAAGTTTTATAGCGTTTGTATATCGAATTCTATATATATATTTTTTTTGCATTTTAATTGGTATCATTGATAAACATATCATATAACTTCATATATTTAACACTTTCCGATGAGGAAGCGCTTCCTCAAAAGCCGTTTGTTTGTCCTTTTTTTTTCTCAGGCTCATAGACGTATCCTGGATACGTCGCTTTATGCTTTTCATTAGCAATTTCGGCTAAAACGGTAAACAATTGTTTCACTTCTGCCGATTGAGCCTTCCAGTTTTCACTCGCCTCCTTAGACAATTCATGCGTTTTCATTGACCTTATCCTATCAGGATTCTCCTTTCTCGCGCGTGCAGTATATTCTTTACGAAACAGAATGAATTTATTTTGTGCGCGAGGTGGTTTTTGTGATATTTTTCTATGTTTTCTTTGGTTAAGCAGATTTTTTAACGGTAAAGCAAATTTATAAGAAGAGTCTTCAATAATTTTATCAAGCGACGCTTGACGATCAGTATTAGGGGAATCGGGTGAACATGGATTCTCAAAGACGAACTTGACCTCGTTAGGTCTTTTCATTGAGCATTCCGTTGTTTTTGGAACTTGCCAAGGCACGGTAAATCCGCATGAAGGATCATTCATAAATTCCTCATGCAACACTTGAGGATCGATATTAGCGTAATTGGTAAATTCACAAAGAGGATATTCATGCAACGCTTGAGGGAAATCAGGTAAAAATAATAGGTTTTCAAAATCGATTTGGTGTTCGTATAAATTCCATGTTTCTTGACGGTTGAGAAAATTATTAGCACAATTGGGAATATACCAAAATTCCTCATGCGACACTTGAGGAGGGGAATCGGGTAAACATAATGAGTTTTCAAAATCGGCGTATAAATTCCTTGTTTCTTGAAAGTTGTGCTTATATAGCGATGCTTGAGAATCGATATTAACGTAATCGGGAAAATACCCAAGCAGTTTCTCATGCGATGCTTGAGGAGGGGAATCGGGTGAACATAATAATATATTTTCAGAATCGACGTGTTCGCAATTCATTTTTTATGAATTCCGTGTTTTATTTGATGTGAAAAATGTTGCTTATATAGTAAATATTAATAGTTGTTTACTATAATTCGATAACAAATTAATTAATTGCTGTGTTTGTTTCGGAATTTGGTGTGCGTGAATCAAACATATCAAAGAAAATTACTGTAGTTCATAATAATTAATAATAATATAAGATATTCGTAATCAAATTTTCATTATGCATTTTAACAATTTATTCTTTAATACATCTTGTTAAACGATACAATGTGTCATATAATTGAAGCCTTCTTTGCCAATTTGTGATAATGCATATATTTTGTTTGATATTTTTTTTACTCTTTATCTCTTATAGATTATTCCTTACATTTGTATTTTTCTTTGTTCGGCCGTTCTCATAACGAAAGAACGATCGCGCATAAAACTCAAATAATTAATTTCATGCATAAATTTTTAGAGCATAAAGTGGCGTCATCGGACGGACCAGAATATTCTCCGTCTAAGATCCCTACTTAATTTCTTCATATACAAAGTGATTCTAAACTCATTTAAATTAGTTGATCGTCAATTCCTGTTATCAATTCCGTGCTTTTGGAAAATTTTAGAAATATTTGTAATGTAATTTAAATGCCCTTAACAACGCAGTAGTTGTGCATTTGGTTCTTGCCTAGAGGAAGTATTAAATAATAGAAAAGCCTTTTTTTTTTACAAAATAACTTATCCTTTAATTCGTATCCTTTAGTTTATAGAATTGAGTCATAACGATAGTGATAAATTTGTCCGTTTTATCGGTGCAGGGTTCGGAAAATCGGACTTGATCATTGTGGCATGTGGCACCTGGCGCCACCTTATTTAAAAAATATCTGCATGTAAAAATATTATTACGTAGTCTTTTACAAATACGTGTTTTAAACTTGCTGATAAATTTATTAACCAACAAAACCTGTAATTTCCCGAACTCCGGGTCGGTGTAACTTTGTCAATTATTTACAATTGCATTTATACAGTTTAGAGAACTTTTTATATAATATTTCAAACTTAAGACCGTCTATATCTTCAATGAAACGCCAACGGTTATTATACAAAAAGATCCACAACTTGGGAGTGCTTTGCTTAGACGGTGAACTTCTGTGTACATTACATATACAATTATTTCGTTGTTAATTTGGTGAAAAAATTAACACAGTAAACTGCTTTAAAGGAATCATATAAAAACATATCAACGGAACTTTGATTAAAAAAGAATATCAATATATTTGCACAAACCAATTGAACAGGGACGATGATTTTCTGCAAAATGCAGACTTGCATAATTCACTTATTTTTGCAGAAATTGGATTTTATCGTGAATAATTGTAGAATTGTGAATCTAAGCTTCAATCAAATTGCATATTTTTAATAAACAGCTCTTAGCCCCGGGCATTGTACCGGAGCTAGGACTCAAATTTTTTATAGTTATTACAATATTTAATTTATCGTTTTCTAGCTCTTAGATTTGAATATTAACTTGAATATAAGGTTTTAAATTTTTTATAGTTTTAATAGTTTTTAATTTAGTTTTTTGATATTGTTTTAGAAGATAAGACTTAAATTTTTATAGCTTTTATAATTTTTTAAATCGTAGTTTTTCGTTTTTAGTTCTAGGTATTATAGAATTTAAGTTTTTTATAGTTTTTAATTTGTAGTTTTTTTATTCTTATATCTATAAATAATTAATTTTATTTTATTTTATTTATTTTTTTATTTTTAAGTTAAAGTCTCTGCCTTTGGTGAGTGATGTTTTTATTCAAGTTTATAGAACATGAATGCCTTCAGAGACTTTCTTACATAGGAGGTTACAACTAGTCACATATGCATTTTTGATACTTAATTTAAGTAGTTCATCTATACATTATTATATAAATTTTATACTAAATGTTATATCTGCAAGCCAACTACAGGTCTTGCTTATTTAAACCTTCTGCATATATGATCCATCTTGTTTTGCAAGGACATCTTCAAGGTTACATTTATTTAAAATACTTAATATATATTGTTACTTTTAAAATTATTTTATTTTTGATAGAAAACTTATTAGAACTTTCTGTATTATATACAACTGGTCTACACAAGTTAAACAAATGAATAAAAAATGAATAATAAGTAAATAATAGAAAAATTCATTATTATTCTATTTTATATCTATCAAGTAATAGTTATACATATAATAGTAACATAATAGCAGAATAATAGTAAAATAATAAAAAATTTATTAATATAAATAATATAATAGTAATATATTAGTGTAATAGAAAAGTTCTATTATTTTACTAATATGTACTATTATATTACCAATATCAACAAATTTTTTATTATTTTACTATTATTTTGCTATTATGTTACTATTATGCAACTATTATTTAACAGATATAAAGTAGAATAATGATAGATTTTTTTCTATTATTTATCTATTATTTATTTTTTATTTATTTGTTTAATCTGTACAATTCTTTAGTTTTAGTTTACTGCATCTGGTAGTCTTATTATGAATTTGCACTAAAGTTTTATATAATATTAGTTTTTAACATTTTTTTATATACAAATAATATTATATTTCTTATAAATATTCTAAGTTTCTATTCAAAATAATGTAACTTAAGGATAGTAATACATAGATCATTTTTATATAGTTATGTATGATATATTAAAATTTGCATCTAAAATTAATATATACTACTAATAAAACTTTTTTATTTTTTTATTAATTAATAAAAAAATTTTATAATATTATA